TCGAAAAATCCCATGGTCCAAACGATAATTAGTATGTCACAGTCATTGCTTACACAGAAAATAATAGAATTATTGATGCAACAAAGGGTTACACAATACACAATTTCGATACACAATTAATGCAAATTAAACTAGACAAGAATTCACTTTTGTTCATACCTTAAAGCGTTGAAGTAAATCAAGATTTATCGAAAACGTCTAATCATAATTCTTAACCATGCACCGTTATGAAACAATCCACTGTTACCACAAAAAAAAAAGAAAGATTTCCCACGGCCATTAACTACAATTTTGGGATAAACCACTTTTTTAAAATTAGTACTTTGAAGGAGGTAGATAAAACTAATGATATTTTTCCTTTCTGTTTACAGAATTCGATTATGGCAAGCCCTGCTAGAGCTCCCACTTTTCGTAAGAAGATTCCAGCCGTGGTCTGTTTATAAGGTGGTTGCATGAGGGAACATCAGAGGCATAGGGTGTTCTACTGAAATGGAAATCTTTCAAGCCGTAAAAGGTAACTCGTGTTATTGCAGAGAATAATACACTAAAGTATTTTTTCGTATCTTACACTTTTTTTAGATAAAGCCCTTAACCACATTAATTTCATAGTTCACTTTCACAAGGCAGTGTATCTTCCCCTTGACACACTTCTGGAATGAAGAACTTTTTAATATTAGTGGGTTGGGTAAGGGGAACAGGTAAATGGGGAAACTAATGTATTCTAAATTTCTGTTTTGAAGTTGAGGCAGATGATGGTCCACTTTTGCAAGTTAAAATGGAGAAAGCAATATCACCATATGGGATTTCAAGAGTCCTTGCCTAGTTGTGATACCACTGTGATTTAGGACCCTTTAAGGTAAGTTATGGGCCAGGGTAGAGGGTGAACAACGAACTTAATTGTAATTCATTCTACAGATATTACAAATCTTATGCCAATGCAAATTCAACAAACTGGACATTTTGTGCAACACCTTACACAAAATTGTTATAAATTAGACTGTTTAGAAACTGTTGTCTAGTAACTAAATGTAGACATTTGTTTTCTATTTACAATTTACTCACCGAAATTCATATAGCAGACATTTTAGAATCCAAAAGCTCTTTCAATTTGTCACAAACTTGCAAAAAGAAGCACTGGTACAAAATATTTTGAAATCCAATTTTCAGATCTTTATCAGTCTCAATGTGACACACGTGACGTTGTCACTGGTCTAGAATACCAGGAGCTACTGCCCCCCCCCCCCCCCCCCCCAACCTCACCCTCAGTGCAGCGGTTGTGGTACTAAGAGGCCATCGTACAGGTGAGTTTGTATTTTTATCAGTTTATATTGTTTAGATCGATAGGCGTTTTTGTGATTCACATGCCTTCCTTTATCCCTTTATCCCTCTTATTTTCTACTCACTTTCTTTTTGTAGAATCTTAGCACTCATCTAAATCATGATGTGGTTTTCTTGTGTTGTGTTATAGAAATAAAATAAAGTTAAAAAATAAAATAAAATAAAATAAAATAATCATGTAAAGAACCAAAGCATTATGAAATATCAAAATACTTATTAGTGTTAACGGTGTGTAAATCCTAGCATTTCATTTGTAGGCTATGAAAGGGCAGTTTTCCAGAAATGATGCCCGAACGCAGATACCATCAATCCGAGCCTAAATATCCAATGGCGCTAGCAACGAGCCTCTGTAGCCACTTTCATTGATAATCGGACATCCTAGCAGTCTTGATTTTTAAGGACACAGCTTGTCTGAAAAAAAAAAAAAAAAAAAAAAAAAGAAAAAAAATAGAGAATGTGGAATGGTAATGAAGAGCGATAATATGCTCAAGTCTTTTGGATATTGAGAATTTTTGCGGCTCATGGGTCACAGATATGAGTTGGGTGTAATTGCATTTAGTAATTTTTATTTTTCACTTATGACAGCGAAACGTTTTATTTCAATAGCTTAAGAAAAAAATAAGTTCAGGATGATCATTCATAATTCCATAAGTGATCAATTGAATAAGATGAATTGTGGTTCTGTATGAAAAGCTTGTCTGTCTCTACGGTTATTATAATAATTATCTTAAAAAAATTATTGAATATCCAGTTGCTTTATCCACATTCTGAATGCAGATAGATTTTTGCTCACAAAACATTGGTGCTACCATCGCTTATGGTCGGTTGTGTTTTATTTCAATCTTAGTGATGTAGTGATTTTTCAAATTTGTGCTGTTGATGATGTAGAGTTATTCGTCGGTATAGCGTTTGAGAAGATCATAATCCGCACACTAATCTCAACTAACCCTCACATCTTTGTAAAATCTGACTTCATGTAAATGCTTTTACATGAAGACGTTTTACATTGATAGCTTGTGCAAAGTCTTTAAAGAAATATTTTACGTTTGAGAAAATATTTCATTATATTTTTGTACAGTCTGCTCCTCGTGAGGGATGGCTGGGTGCACACAATCATCCCTCAAGATAGAGGATCGCACATTACTTATATTACTAATGTTATGATTTTCTCAAGTGTTATAGTTGACAAATATATCCAATTCATCACATATGCACTTTTTTCTCCGGATCAAAAAATTCGCATTGAAATTTACATAGACGGCCATCAAGTGTAAAGTGAGATCTGAAATATTTCAAAGCAAGCTTGCTTTATTCTTTACTTGTATCATACAGGTAGTTGCGATTGCAAAGCAAAATTACATTTGAGAAGTTTATATATGTCAAAGTTTAGTTTAAACCATTGAGGTGCCTGGGTAATAATCATATTACCATTTTTTATATATTTTATCATTAAAGAGAACTATATTCGAGTTTTGATGGATGCTTTCAGTAATTGGGTTGAGTCGCTTTATTCACGACTTCATATCCCCCTAGATAAAGTTAAAATTAGTCTCAGTTTAATTGTGTTAAGACTCTAGTAAATGTCTTAATTGGCTTCAGTACCACTTTCTGTAGAAATTACTTCGGCAAATTCTTGTGCTTCATCTTGAGTACCAGTATAGTGTATATAGAGAAAAGTTTGTAGTCACAAGAGAAAGTTTATTCAGCTGCACCACGGGACGATGTTCTTGAACTGTAAGGCGCTGTGCCAATAAAAAACTTAAGTTATCATGTTATAAAGACTGAAGTATCCGGGCGTGGGCACTTTCCCGGCATTCCCCACGAAGGGTTTAGACGGGTTTTCCCCCCCCCCCCCCCCCCCCCCAAGGCCCGCAGACATCGGGTACCAGCTTCCGACCACAAGAGCAACATTATCGGACTGTATGTGTTCTGATGTTAGATGATAAAGACGGGAATGGAAATCTTTAAACTTTAAATAATGCGACTTTCATTGATTCATTTCATTTACATAATTCATAATGATTACTACAGTACTTTTTAAAATTGAATGTTACTGTATATAATAGTTGAATAAAATTTTATTCTCTAATTTTTCTTTTTGTTAAAAGGAGGAAGGCTTGTACAGATGGCAAAATAATCACCAGATTGCGAATTGATTTTAATGGATGTGCACGCGGCTCGTTTAATTATCAGTCGAAATTATCTTCTATTCAATCGCCCCTTATCTTACTTAAATTTAAGTTTTGGCGATTTCTGTCACCCCAGTGTCTTCCATAAAATCAGGCAATGTCCAGGTGATAAATTGATATTTTTAAATTAAATTTATTTATTTATTATTATTATTTATTTATTATTATTATTATTATTTTTTTTTTTTTGGAAATAAAACTGCGGTGTTGCGGAACTTTTTTAGCCGGGAATAACTCGAGCCGATACCAAATTGGACACTTTTTATTCTTCCTCAGTAGAAAATTATTGTTTAGATATAAAATTCTGCATACTTCGAGACGACTTATTACCGTTTACATCCACACACGGGCAGCAAGTTGGGACATAGGACGCCACTCGCACTTTACCCGTCTTGTAAACTTATATTTCGATCGTTTATTACTTGTATTTCAAATAAATGCACCTGCAGATTATAAAATTCATCTGTGTGAAATTCACCAAGCACTTTTACATCGCTCCCAATTCCGTGTCAAAAAGATTTCAGTACGCCTAACCAACTTCAAAAAAGGATTATTTGAAGGTGGAGTCCGCGGATGCGAAGCCGACCCCCCCCCTCTTTTGGCGTTGATAAAATTTTGGTTTTTGGTACTTTTAGAGGGCAAACAGTTCCATTTGGTACGGTTTAGAACTATGATTCAGCTAGACAAATTTCTAATTTCAAGAGTGGAGGGCGGACTTTCTGTTACACAATCCCTCAGTTTTGTTACACCAGGTTAAAGGGATAATAACTCTTCGTATGAGATCTATATTTCACAATAAAAACATTGTGAATAACTCATAGAAATATAATATATTCTGTTTAATGACAAAAACAGCAGTTATAGCTATTATTCTGATATCTGAGCTTGTCTTCAGACCACATGACCTCCATTGATGGCTATACTCTGTTAAAATCTCTTAAGAGATTTTAACAAAAAAACAAACTTTTTAGGAAAAAACCAGGGAATAACTTTGAGTGTAAAAATGGATTCATTAACTATTGGTAAGTACGGGAAAATTGTTTACTCCAGGAAAATTAATTTTTTTGGCCAAAACGAAGAGTTATTATCCCTTTAATTTAAGGAAAAACATCTACTGGCCATGACGGACCACTAAATTCACACATATTGAAAAATACACCAAATTTTACGAAATTTTACTGGCCTCGGGCGTCGGACTAGTGGCTATGCGCCTTACGTGATATCTGAAATTATCGAGAACGGTGTGAATAAAACATAACTGACGATCGCGACAGACAGAACACAAACAAAAACGTTTCTTTCACTGTTTTAAAAATTTGAATATTTTTTCTTTTTAGAAGATTACGTTAGTAGGCAGTGACGAATGAACTTGCTAAGTCACTTTGCAAAGGAAATTGGAAGGGAACAAAAATAGTCTCCTCATTGTTTTATCAAGCTATATGTCATATAATATTAAAATATTGACATCGTTCATTAGCCGGAGAATTGTGGTGATGGAAATCTTCCATACTGGGTTACAGTGAGGCACTTTGTTGCTCTTTTAGGATAAAGGCTGATCTGTTTCATTGTATATGTTCATAATTGCATCAGTAAAATAGCAATAAAATTCGTTAGAATTTTATTCCAATTGTTCATTTTAGTTTTATTGTTATTTTTAATGTTCACATGGTAGGAAATAGCGCTTTACTTCACTTGGGTGTGTGTGACATTCCTGATGGTCATAACAGGTCACAATATTTTCTTTGCTTTTCCATAACAATTTCACTGTATATGTTTAGCACAGATATGGGGAATAGCGTGTCCTCCCATCCCCACCCCACCAGTCCCTAAATGTACCATCGTGGAGTTCTTAGTTTAGCTAATGGACTACAGTGTGCCGCGCTGTTGGTACAAGTAGAGCCTCAACTTTTCTATATACAAATGCCAGGGAAAGTCCTCCATCTGAGGAAATCCGGCTTATTCTTACTACAAATTGTTCTGCAATCACCGTTTCACTAGGACAGAGCTAATAGCACTGACTTGGAATAATTGCTTCTAAATTTCTAAATGTCCATTAAAAATCTGGACACCCTATTACAATATCTTGGCTGCAAGAAGTCTTTAAGTTCGTCTTTTGTAACCCATCTGTAATCTGTAACATCTGGATTTTCTTGTGAAAACTGTCCTCCAGAGAAAAAAGCATGAAAGAAAAATACCTGAAAAATAAATAAAATGTACACAATTTACAGTAAGCATAATATTCACACAATCAAATAATAATTATTATAATTATTTCTTAAATATGCATATCAAGTGAGTAGATATGTCAAATTATTGCCATGACTCTAAAACAACAAAAAACAACTTATTATGTAATAATACTTTTAACTACTGTCATCTTCACCATATTGTAAACAACCTTGAAATGTGTTATTTTTACCTTGGCTCCTACGATGTCACTTCTCAACTCTTTTGGGTATTTAAACTTGAAGAAACCACAGGGAGCATTGCCAATGATGACAGCTTGCAGGTTTGGTCCACAAGACGCACCAAGAGCTCTTCCTGCTGCCTAAAATGTGAAATACATTTCCCATGTAAAGAAGCTACAATGATGATTAGATGTCAAATTTACTTGCCTCTTGACTTTATCTGCACAAATAAATTTCTCTCAAATCCTCATAGATATGGTGTATGGTGACAGAGTTGGATTGGTGGCACCCAGGTGGCTTGTTTGCATATATAATACAGGGATGGGACAGCAACATGCTAAAAGAGGAAGAAAATCCTCTTCCTCTCCTGAATTTAAACAATTTTTGATCATTTCACACAAAACCCAGCCACTTTCAAAGTCCCATTTCACATTTCACAAAAAGAGGACGAATTCAGCCAAAAGGGAAAAGAACCCCACCCCTACATACAGTCACTTTTATACAGCTATGTTCACAAAGTTATTCACAGTTTTTCCTTGCCTGTTTCATGTCTTCATTCCTTTTTACGGCACTGTATGGAAACAGCCATTTTGTAGTATTATCAATCTTATGTTGGAGTATCAGGAACAAAGACCTATCCAATTTTCTCTCGAGTGACTGAAGGTCATTCCTTGCATCTGCATCTGGATAATCAAAGCACGTACATGTAGTATAGCAGTATAATAAATTTAAAATGATAAAGTTTTAAATTTTGAGAATTGGCTTTAACACTACCTTTAGTATGAAAGTGATGTGTTTGAAATACCTGGCAAGTGCTAATGAATATATTATATATAATGTCATGCTGTTTTTAAACATACCTTTGGCCATGTTTTTATGAATTTATCTTTTTAGCTATCTAGTTTTATGTATCTGCATACCTACTTTCTGTGAAAAATAATATGTTCATGATGTTCTTAAATTAAAGTCCTTCACATAGCTATATTTAATGTGAATTTTACACAATTTTCCCTCAATCACCATCCTATCAAAAATGACAAAATTTCAGTCTATATGCTCTTTTACAAGTTCTTAATGTCTATTTTGAACATTACGAAAAAAAAATAAATAAATAACCAGTTTTCATCTCTGTTATGAGAGTGGTCCAAAATTCTAAACTTACAATTCAAGATACTTATTGGTAAAATTGGCAGTTTTGTCAGCAATTTTGGATACAGTATACCTTTCTGGTTTAAAAGGGAAATTGTGTAGATTTCGAGGAAAGTTTAATTCTTGCTAACTTAAAGGGATAATAACTCTTCGTATCAGATCTATATTTCACAATAAAAACATTGTGAATAACTCATAGAAATATAATATATTCTGTTTTACCACAAAAGCGGCAGTTATAGCTATTATTCTGATATCTGAGCTTGTCTTTAGACCACGTGACCTCCATTGATGGCTATACTCTGTTAAAATCTCTTAAGAGATTTTAACAAAAAACCAAACTTTTTAGAAAAAAACCAGGGACTAACTTTGAATGTAAAACCATTGTTAAGTATGGAAAAATTGTTGTTTACTCCAGGAAAATTCATTTTTTGGCCAAAAACGAAGAGTTATTATCCCTTTAGGATCTAGCCCTCATTTGTGCGACTTGCCTGTCAATCTACCAGCTGGAGTGAAAAATGCCAGTTCTTTGGCCCAAGCCTTTTCTAAGTCTGAAGATAGTATCCTTCTATGTACAGCTTCCTCTTCTTCATCAACCTCCTGTAACCCCTTCTTTATCCTCTCCTGCTTCTTCATTTCTTGAGCAGCAAGATATTTCCTGGTGACAGAAAAAAAGCAAAAAAATTATCGTTATTTGAGAAAATTGTGAGCTATGACCAAACTGACAGAACTAGAAACTCATACGCAAACCATTTTCTGGTATCGTAAAGGATTCTTTTAATAATCTGAGAAATACAGAGTCATTTAGAAAATTACACCCCATTTCCATAGATTAGATCGACCTACTTTAGATCGACCTAACTCCCTGGGGGTTCACGCTAAACAGCTGTCAGCCGGGCGGACACGAAAGTTAATTACCCTCTTACAGCTTGTAGTAGGCGGGACGGACATTTAAGTCGGATTATCTGAAAGTAATCTAGTGAGACTCCCCGCGGGGATAGATCGATCTAAAATCTATGGGAATAGAGCCTTAAAATACTCATATGGTCCCCTTTCACAAAACATCTGTAGCCATGCATGTAATTAGTCTTAACTTTAAAGCAATTTTTAGAACCCATTCCCTTACCTAGATCGATCTAGCAGGACTGACGCATCTCCGAAGGATTTCTAAATTTTATTCAGCTTAAGCGGCTCCGTTGTCATTTAGCAGCTTCAGTAGGTGTGCCAGACATCTAAGCTCCTTAATCTGAATGCAATTTAGCAAGAAACCCCTTGGAGATGGGTCGATCCTGCTAGATTGATCTAGGTATGGGAATGGGGTCTTAGTCTATTTTTACCCAAAATAAATCGGTATCAGTCAACAATGTGTAATGCTCTGTGTGTTTTAAACATAGAAGTACGTAAAAGATGCTACTAATGTTTCACCCCAGTTCTTCCTTCATTTAAAGCCAAGAATTTGTTAGACCAAATTTTTGGAATTTAACTTAAAAACCAATCCTCAGGTTCTCTTGTGAAATAAGTCCCAGTTAAAAAGCCATGCATCAAAGCTTAATTACAGTTATTTTACTGTATGATGGCAACTGTAAAGTTAATAACTTGTCATTAATTGCTAATCACTCACATTCATTTACCCATCAATCATATCACTGTAGGCACGGAGACAAATATTTTTGAAAAATTAGCAGATAAATGATCTAGTTTTATATTTTACATTATATCAGAAATACAAGGATAAAGAGAGGTTTGATGCATGTTTGGCAAGTAAAGTGTACTGCTAGTCCCCCCCTCTCTCCCTCCATTAAAGTCATAATAACTCTTCGTATTGGCCAAAAATTGGATTTTCCTGGAGTAAACGGCAATTTTTCCCATACTTACCAATGGTCAACGACCCCATTCCTGCATTTAAAGTTAGTCTAGGGTTTTTCCCTAAAAGTTTGGTTTTTTATTAAAATCTCTTAAGAGATTTTAACTGACGGAGCCCTCTCTGACATTACATAGTCACACGATATTGAGCGATATTTTCTGGTGACCTACTTAAAACTGCGTAAGACAACAACAACACTCTGTAACAATAATATAAGATTCATCAGATATTCGTCTTATTGCTCAAAATGCATTTATATCTACAATGTGTGCAATTCTGGGCTTTTCGTTATCCGACGCACTGTACAAAGACTCGCAACTTACGTTTGCAGATCGCATCAGTCGTTCCGCGCCATGTTATTTTGGTCTCGAATGAACGCAAGAATCCGCGTGACACCCAAATGTCATTGGCAACGAATGCCTTGACGACCGGGAAGAAAGGCATCGAAAGCCCTATTGACAAGCACAGATTTTAGTTTTACTACCATAACGGCCGTTTTAGTGGTAAAATGCAATAGAATATATTTCCATGCGTTGTTTACAATGTATTTCTTGCTGAATTTTGAATCTCAAAGGAAGAGTTATTATTGCTTTAACTTTATGTTAACAAAAGAATGGCAGAAACAGGTTTGTTGAGGAAAAAAAAAAAACTGAAAACTTACTCCTCTGATTTTTGCCTTTTCTCATAGTCGCACACCAAACTTCTCTCAAATTCAATATCCCTGAAAATCTGTTCTACTTGTTGTTCTAACTCAGTCTTCTCACGACCAATCACAGGTCTTCTTTCTACACAAACTGCACTAACCAAATCCCATCTCTCATTAGCTGTGCTGTTGCTGTCTGTACCCACTGTACTGGTCGTTCTTAATGCACTTTTCTGGATGCTGCCTGTAAATAATATTATTGGACAATGGATATCACAAGTGAAACTAATAATGATACTGTGCAAAATATTTTCAAAACCTGCGGAATAAATAAATAAATTTAAAAAAAAAAACACTCCAGATTCTCATTNGAGATAGATAAGCATGATACTTAGATATATAAATTCTATTTTTATCGATATGGTGTAGAACAATAAAACATACGCTCTAAAACCGCCCTTCAACCGATATCAAACATTATATACAAATAAAAACAGAAATACAGCAAGTGATCGAGAATAGACCGTTTATAACACAATAGATTGATGGTGTTCAAAGGTAAAATGTTCTGGGAAATTACATAAAAATATACTTTTATGGCCAGGGGGAACAAAATCATTTTGAAAAAAAATAAAAATTTATGACCCGTTTTCGTGTCCTTACATTGTATTTTTAATGGGGCCATGGGCAAAACTCACCTGCCTCTAATACGAGAGGGATTAAAAAAACTAGACTATAATGATCCATGGATCGTACAGCTGATACTAACTATTGATATTTCATCGGCAAATGTTTACAGAAATATTTTACGATCAAGTTCGTAGCATTATGCACCCGGTATGTACTGCTTTACAGAAAGCGTGTTAACGGTACAAATACATGTAGCTATATAGTGTATACAAGTACGTCCATCTGCTCTGGACAATGTAATGGACTCATTACCCATCTTTACCGCTATATTTTACACGATACGGGCAATGGTTGTGTTCTCCTGACCGCACACTGATTCAGAATTCGTTTGACGACCCGTATTTTACAGTTCGAAAGTTATAACATATTTGCGTCTGAGAAGTTTTTTTGCATTAAGATATTGTTCTTATTTGTCACTTTGACACATGTATACGCTAGATGTGCATGATAGGTCAGAGTAAACGAACGTCTTCGCAATTTTCTGTTTTGGGCTGAAAAAAAAAAAACAAAAAAAACATGTAGCCTATAAGGCAGGCGCTTAGGCAGGTGTTCCATAGGTTTTAGATATGTCGAATGCAAACTTATTTTCAGCTGACGTGACTAAGCAAAACTGGCTTTATTCCTTTATGTAAGAAAAAAATTAATAATTAATAGGTCCTAACATAAATAGATACAGTACTTCTCAGATGGCCGCGATACGTAGGCTTATATATTCTGCTGATAGGCCTAACTGCTAAACAAGGGGGTGGTCGCATGCAGTGGTGCAGGAAAGCGGAGGTAGTAACGGCTGATGGTAACGGTGTGGGCGAGTAAACGGTGCGAGGGCCTATAAAAGGTAAAGGCCTATTTGGCGAGCGTAACATTTATATATATATATATATATCCTTCTTAATAAATGCCAACCTTTTTCTTTTCACATTACGGTTTTTTAAAGGTCCATTTGTTATCTAAATATGTTTCGAAAAGAACTTTTCTGAACAAATTTGAAATTAACTTTAAATTCTTGCTAATCACTAGACGTGCGTTTCACTTAAAGGGATAATAACTCTTCGTATGAGATCTATATTTCACAATAAAAACATTGTGAACAACTCATAGAAATATAATATATTCTGTTTTACCACAAAAACGGCAGTTATAGCTTTTATTCTGATATCTGAGCTTGTCTTTAGACCATGTGACCTCCATTGATGGCTATACTCTGTTATAATCTCTTAAGAGATTATAACAAAAAAACAAACTTTTTAAAAAAAAAAAAAAACCAGGGACTAACTTTGAATATAAAAATGGATTAAATAACCATTGGTTAGTATGGGAAAATTGTTGTTTTCTCCAGGAAAATTCATTTTTTGGCCAAAACGAAGAGTTATTATCCCTTTAAGATGTTCCTGGCGTCTGGCATAGGGGGCCTGAAGCCTACCTACCAGTACTTTGGCAGGAACCCAGCTGACGAATGTCTTCAGAGAATCGAGATAATTAAAGGCCAGTCACTAATTAGACGGACATTGAGGAAAATTCCAACCTTTATTTCAAGGTCTTTGTCGTTTTAAAGATCTGAATTAATTGGGAAAGAATAGTAAATTTGAAGAAAATATATAGGCAAAGGATGTGTTTTGAATTACATGCACTGTACTGACTACACAGATTACACATACGTATTTACCCACAGAATACTTTCATTTTCAATTAAAAAGTTGGATCAGCAAACGTGTTTCAACAGCAGTCAGCAAGAGTGCCGTGCAAACGGCCCTCGAATTGCTACTTTCTGCGTTTGTGTTAAGACTTGCCATCATCTCCAACGAAAACCTTTGGGCTTCACCGCACGATTTCCGTGCTCACCCTCTTTTGTCATCATTTCGAAACTCATTGGAGAGTCTCGATCAAATAAGATCAAGTGTATCAAATATTGTAACAAAACCTGAAGAGAGAGAGAGAGAGAGAGAGAGAGAGAGACCGCTTTTGTGGGAACCCACAAAAGCCGGAAAAGGAAGCTCTTTGAAACTGTATGCGCATGTCTGAAATGCATCCTGGGATACGACTTATTTTTAGTAACACTGCCGATCAGTTTAAAGCTGCGTGACGTCAAATTTAGCTTCAAAGCATTTGGGGCGAGTCACCGAGGTAGGTTCTATCGAAATACTCACACCAACACTTAACAGATTATGTCATGTTGTATGTTGTCTACATTTTCCTTTGTGTGGCGGTTATTTAGTCTATGGATTAAGTCTAACAGGTGCTATTGTCGACCTCTTTCAGTAAAATTAGAAATTTGTTCACTCCGGAGTGGAGAAGGCATGAAGTCGAACGGTTTTTACCCGTATCCTAATGGTTTATAAAAACCACTCCTTAATGCTATTGAAATGTGTACCATGATGTTTGAAATAGTCAACACGGCCTGTTTTATTCAATATTTCTATAGGTGTTCAACTGTAATTAATTAAGGGATGTTTTCAAACTTTCGAGATATTGTTTCGAGTATCTTCGGTAGAACATCCGTATAACAGATAACAAAAAACTGTTTATTTAATACTATAAACTCTCTCAGTAGTTGCTCTTGATATTTGACATTAGACTTGTAAATATTAGACCACAACCTTAGAAAGAGACAAAAGTGGTCTGCCTTGTGATATTTTCAGCACCCCTTTTAAACAAAGGTTGATTTGTTTGTCAACTATATCAAAATATTCATTATTTAAAATTATCATACATAGTGAATGGGAAACTCCCGTTATCATACTGGGTCATCACTGATAGTTTCTTATCCAATAATTGATGTAGGTAGATTGGTATTCATTATCATTATCACTGTTCGCTGTTTATTCCTGGTTTTTGAGAGGAGACACTAGTGATATTACTACTTGCCAAGCCTACCTTTCCTTCCACCCACCCTATCTCTATTCACCCTATACCTACAGCACTCACCCCATGCCCCTTCTCCCATTTTACGTAACCTACTTCTCTTCATCCTGTATTCTACTCTCCTTCCCCCCATCCCGCTTCTGCTCTTTACCCATCACCCCCTTTCCACTGGGCCTATGTCTCATCCCATCCAGCCATCATACCCTTCTACTCTTCTTCAAGCTTCATCTCACCCCTTCCACTTGCCCTCTCTCTCCATCTACCTTTTCAACCCACCTGTTCGTTCTGTCTATCCCCTTCTCCCCTTCTTGCCTCACCCTTGTTTGGTGTCTACTGTTGGCATCATTAGCCCAAGTAATATATATGGGGAAGTGTATCTTCTTGTGGGGGTGGTAAATTTCTCTAGAATTTGAATGGTGGGGCAAAACAACAGGCAAGTGGTCTCTGGTCGTGACATCATAAGCTGTATTAAAGTATCGAAAAAAAAAGGTGTATTGTCTCTGTGGAATAGGGAGACATAGGCTGTATTCCCAGAGCTTTTAGATCGATCTATCTCCGCAGGGAGTCTCACTAGATTACTGTCAGATAATGCGGCTTAAATGTCCGTCCCGCCTACAACAAGCTGTAAGGGGGTAATTAACTTTCGTGTCCGCCCGGCTGACAGCTATTTAGCGTGAACCCCCAGGGAGTTAGGTTGATCTAAAGTAGATCGATCTAATCTCTGGAAATGGGGTCATAGCTATGGGCTAGTATGCCCCTCTCCAGGTTCTCCCTGGTTCTATGATCTTTCATAACTCCCTGGTTCACAGGAGAATACTAATCACTGAATTTTCACTTTCATTTATAAAATCAAGCCTGTTAAACTCAGGGTAAGCAGCCAGCTCTTTGATTATGAATTGATGTAGTGTTCGAATGTTTTTCAATGGGTGCAGTAAGAGGGTGAACACCAGGAAAAAACTAAACCACAAGAAATGGGCTCAGCTCAGCTTACATAGGAAACGTTTTGTCCAAATGAGATTTCATCTTTGTTTTTGTCCATTCTATGCGTTTAGTTTTATGCTCTGCCAAAACATGTTAACAGAGGCTTAGATTTTGATCACATACATCTTCCGATGTAAATGGGCTGCCTTTTACTGATACCAGTCATCTCATTGTCAATGTGGATGAATAATTTAAAAAAAATCTCCACTTGATGTTACAGTTACTAGTATACTAATGTCTTAATAACAAGGAAGTCAAATAAATACAAAGTGAGGCGGAAGTGTCTGTGGCTACAACAGGAGTTTTTATATTTACTCAACTGTAAATAGTGGAATAAGGCTGCAGAAAATGACAGCAAATAATCTGTTACCATAATAATATGTTGGTTCTCAAATAGTGGAGAACGGACTTGATTTATTTTTACATGAATTAAGACACTTGAAACAAAAAGCAAGTCTGAAATGGAAACTTATATATTTGATACCAGCACAAATATGACCCAAAGTACAGCACGTACATTATGCAGAAGATTATACCTGGGACTAAATAAGTATACTTTTTAACTGTCATATAAATGTATAGATAATAAGTTTGACTACAGTATGAGAGACAACTCAGATGTGGAGGCAGTCTTATACATAAAGGTTTTCATTTTGTTCCTTGACATCTCAAAAAGGCATGCTTTATCACATATTTTACAATGTTGCAGATCATGAGAGTAGTATTTTGATTGATAAAGCCATATTGCACTCTCTGTCCCCCCCCCCCCCNCCCCATTAACATATATACAGCACCTTTATCTCTGTATAAAACTTCAAAGGAAGATTATGTAAGGCATGTTTTGTTAAAAGCTAAAATGCAGCTGGCTTTAACTGGTGCTGTTGAGTAAACCAGACCATATTGGGACGGCATCTTATTAAGGTGTTTGTTAAAAGAAGGTCAGGTGTACACAAGCTCATCTAAAGCCAGTGCAAACTCATGGCCGCTGAGAGGAAGAGGGGGGTTTACCCCTATTTAAAAACCTTAAACAAAGTGGAGAAAATGGATAGCTGCTGAAGCAAAGATTGCTTGAAAATTTGTAAATACTGGGTCTTGGTCTGATTCAAATTGTCACCCATGGAAACTAATGAACTTTTGACCATATACCTTGACTTTACTTAGCATTAATTGTTTTCTGCATGTATTTTACATTATGTGATGCATTATGTGAGTTCAAATTATGTCACCGCAACTTGAAAAAAAATTGGGAAGTATGGAATAAGGAGTAGCAAAGTCCATCTCATTAAAAAAATTAAAAACAGCATTCAGCAGCATAATTTTTCAACAATATAACCCAATTTGGTCGACATTTGAGAAAGAAAACTAGGGTGTTTATGTAGACATTTTCCTTCCTGCCATTTTCTCTCTCCACCCATGTTAGTGTCACTCATTCTAGTTCATTAAACTTTTTGTTAAAGGATGCTACAGATCAAATAACATAAACTTTAGCAAACAATTTGTGTTATTTACCAGTTTCAATGATATATTGAAAAAGGAAGAAAGGGAACAGAAAGTCTATTTTTGTTTGCTTTTAAATCTTTAGAATGTTAAAGATGAAGAAGGGGTTATGGAATTTATTTATTAAAAGAAAATGATCAGAACAGAAGTGGTAGTTAAAAAAAAATATCACTAGATAATAAAAGGAGACAAAATACATCAGACTCCTTGTTGTATTTGGACATAAAAATTCTATCATAAACAGGGATAACACATGAACCTACATCATGGAGACACAAGGAAAAAATACTCCAGCCTCTTAACTTCAGGGTGTTTTGACTTGAACAATACCATAGTGTACTACAGGGTTAACCCAAGTCCACTGCCCACTGTGAGTGGCCCAGGCCGATCTAGCATCTGATACACCAGCATAAATAGAATAAAGGAAGGGATACAAGAGATAGCACCCTCCTACACATGCAAGGACCTGGACTCCTGTACTCCATTCTGAACAAGGCTAGAGTGCTCCATAAGTATGATTGTGCATTAAATTGACAGATTATTCTGTGGTCTTTAATCAGCCAGTTTACAAGGAATAGTGCTGTATTAAAAGGAACGGCCAGAAAGGAGGTAAAGGGGCAATCCAAGCAGAACTGCCCCACTGATTCGTACAGGATATCTCGACACATGCAGACAGGACTTTCATGTGCTTGCTTATTCATAACTATCCAGTGGTGTCATGCTGAAGGCTCACAGGGATTTATGATCTCAACACATTGATGAGCAACAGAGAACAGCTGACCTGAGGGAGAGTCCAAAGCGCCTTTCTTTAAAAGTATACCTTGTAAATTTAACATGGACAGTAGAGAGAGTGGCGGAATTAACTTAATTCTGACTTACAGCCGTGTGGTGTCGGTGTCATGCATGCCGCAAGCTTAGTGAGTGAGTGAGGATACTTAAGCTGTGGTTTAACACAGTGTACACACTCTGGGTGTACACACACACATTCTCCACACGTGCTGTTTGTTTAGTGTGGCGGGCTAAGACTGAGCAGGAAGGGGGAGTGGACACAGGGCATTGGGGCAGTCACATGGCCAGCGTTGACCTGGTGAGACTCGGCTTGACCACTATAGGCCAGTTTCTGTGTTGACCACCGATTTGACCACAGAGTGACAACAGAGTTGACTGGAACGCTTGCCTGGGGCAGTTTGTAGTATTTCTAGTGGTGACACACACCGCATGGAGTTATTGTAGTTTTGGACTGGAGTAAAGGAAGTTAGGGAGCGAGAGAACATTACATGGGTTATGGACTGGATATGCAGTTTGTTTTGAGAATTTATAACACAATTTAAGGGAGGGTGGTGAGTATTTAAAACACTCTGGAATATAGTTTCTATTAAAAATGAAGTGACTGTGGCGATTTCATACTTTGCAAGGATAATATGCTATCTGACATTGAGAGGGAATGTGATGCTCTTTAATTCACCAGGGATTATCCATGAAGTAAGAGGTGCAGTGATTTTGTTCTTAGAAACAGGATGAGGGATATGTTGCATTGAGAGCGAAAGGAATGCTAGTATTTTATATCTCTTGGATGGGAAAGAACCTATAATATCAAAAGAGAAAGAAGAACTGTGATTTCATATTCTTATCTGAGGAATGGATATCTTCTCTGTTCATACAAATGGAAAGGACCAACATCTTAGGGGTGAAACCCATGGGTTATATTAGCTAGGGGGCTGTCTCAACAACGGAATAATGAACGATGAAGTGCGTCAACTGCTGTTCTGCCCGGCCACGAGGAAAGTATGGATATTACTACACGTACGGACGCCCGATTTGTAGGGAAATATCCTGGCCTCTTGGTGTCTATGTGAGTACTTGGAGCATGTGCATGGTTTTGTACATTGAGTTTAATCATGCTTGAATGATACAAATGAGCAAGTAAAAAAAATTAGGTCTTATGATAGAGTGAGAAATGGTGAAATTAATATATCAAGGTGCTGGTTCACGATTTTCCAAATGACCAACATGTGGCACCATTGGTTTTGTTGTTTCTTTTAATTATTAGAATATACATAAACATATGATACCCGTCTGAGAATTAAGGGGGTTAATTGATAGGTTGTACAATTTGTAAACATGTAGAATAAGCTGAAATATGTAGGAAAATATTGTATCGCACTTATGGAAGCTCACTGCTGTAAGACTATCAACTTGGCTGAGTGCTGACTTGAGATTTCTCAATAATGGGGGGTGACTTGGGGCACATACTTGAGGCAGCAGAGTGCATTTAGTGCTTGTAGATCATTCCTGACTGATTTCCAGTGTGGAAATTTGTTTCAATTTAGCCTGATTTACTCCAGCTCTGCTGAAATGCATTTGGTTAATGAAGTGCTTTAAGAATCAATTACAAGTTGAGGTGTATGTGACTGTACATACCTCACATTAGTTAATAAGGTACAAAGGTATAAAGGACTTGTAATACCCCTCACCCCACCCCTTCTTTGGGGTATTTAAAATTCAATTTAATTTATATATTTTTTGGTAGGTTTTACTATGTTTGTCATATACGGGTACACCTATGCTAAGGCTTCGTTCACATGCAATGTCTATTTTCTATTTTCTATTTTCGGTATGTCTTATGATCACGGTCTGTGCACTGAATATCCCGCCGCGTAATTACTGGCAGCGCGAGCCAGTTACTTATAGTAACTTATAGTAACTGGCTCGCGCTGCCAGTAATTACGCCGCGGGATATTCAGTGCACAGACCGTGATCATAAGACATACCGAAAATAGAAAATAGAAAATAGAAAATAGACATTGCATGTGAACGAAGCCTAAATGAAGCATCTCATCTATGACAGAACAGATTACAGATTTTCATTTTTTTTGTTTTTTAAAATTTAAATTTGTATGGGTGAAGATCCGGGAGATCAATTCAAGAGGTGAAAAATAGAAAAAGGTCTGCTCCTTGGCACATGTACATGTTTGCTACTTGACATAACCATGCAGACATATGGCAAGCTCTCATGTCATGGCTGGTAACCTGATTATGACAGTGATGGGGAAGAAGTGGTGTATACAATCGGAATTACCAGCTGTACACATACATGCACGCATGTACATGCTTTCTGCACTTTTTGGACTGTACCTGCTCTAGTTTTCAGTTTTTTATGCTGTAATTTATTTCTTTCAGTAATGTGATTTTGATAGACTCCTAGGCATGGGAGGGTTGGGGGGTGGAATAAGTAATGTGTACATGTTCTTCACATATTTTAAGCAAGGCAAAAAAAGAAAATAAATAAATAAATAAATAAATAAATAAATAAATAATAAAAATGAGAGAAGAAACAATCTAAGAAAAAAATCCTTTTAACCTGACCAGTGCTCCAGTGTTGTACATATTCTTATGGAAAATCATGATAGAAGGTATGGTTTATGGATGTCTGTTAGTATTTGTGACCAGCTGATGGAAATATCTTTGTCAAATGTGACACGATATTATAATTGCCAAACTTTAGCCAACTTTTTCAGCACTTGTAATGGATAACCAATGTGGTACCAGTTACATATTTACAAATTCCACTCTTTCAACTTTTAATTTATGACTTTCACACCTGGAAAATGTTGAGATTATACCATGTTAGGCCCATAACTGTCAGTTCATTATCTTCAGGTCTCTTTGTAATGCATTATTAGTGATAGTCATTGATGTTATGTAAGCTCTGTATACCATACCTTTGAATTTAATTGATCCCTCACTTAATTTTCACTAAAAGCATTGTCAACAGTAATTACTTAACTTGTTAGAGAATGTGTATGTTATACTTCTGTGTTAAACAAAAGATGCATCGGAAAAACCAATCCATTTCTTGGTCCTATGCAGGTGCAAAGGAGAGGGTTAAATAGGCTAAATAAAATAAACACATGATTTATAAGTTTTGATGACTTTACATTTGTTTTGTTTTTTTGTAAATATAGTTAAATCACAGTGTGTATATATATATATATATGCTATTAGGAAGTGGTTGGAGCCAACAATTACTTGTAATGCAAGTCAGCATTTAGACTTAATCCTCTCTTGGGGGGACTAAGGAGACCATCCATTTCCACTGACCCCTTCAATGAAATAGCTGATCGCAACATTCCTTAGTTAAGTATCCATTGCATTGTTTGGTAAAAAACACATTTGGAAAGGAAGTTGTTTAGCCTCTGTTGAAATCAGGCCAGTGTTGAAAGGAGATGGAATTAAATTGCATATTTCAATTAGGGAAGGAAATTGGTTGGTTACAGAGTAAAGGATTGGCTCAAATTACATATATCTGCTCGAGTGAGTCAAATACTATTTCAGTCTTTTTCTTTTCTCTTCTGTTTCTGGTTGTAACAGAATGATTATCATATTTGAATAACACATGTATCTTCAAGAACTAGTTTGATATCAGTCTTCTCGTGTTTTGATCTTGCTGCAGTGATTATGGGGATAAGGTGGATCTTGTATTTCAGAAATATTCAGCAGCAAGTTAAATATTTTAAGACTCTCTTCCCTTTTTGCCCTGTCCTTAGTCTGTAAAAACTGACTGACCCAGTGACCCACCCCTCCAAACTGAGGTCTCCAATGGGGAGAGAAAACAACCTTCAGTTTTCTTTGTCATCTCCAATCTTCAACACCATGGAGGAGACACCCTATGGGTGTGTGTTCTACGTTTTTCATTCAGGGAGAGATTTGTACGTAGCCTTCCCTTTCACTTTGGGAGCATCCAGCACAAAGTTAATTAGAACTGTTTTATGACTTGCTCAGTTTAGCAGATGGTTTGTAAGCTCTGGCAATATGTGGTAGACTGGAGAGCTATATAGTACCATGGCCCATAGGAACCACACTGTTGTCATACCTCTGATAACCACCCCTTTCGTTCATTGTACAAAACAACTAACTGTGACATTACATAGAAGGAATCTGCAATTTTAAAACATTCTACTTTCTTTGGTTAGGCTACAACAATTTTAGTTAAAACCGTGCTGAATGTCCCCTTGGTCTTTATGGCTCCCCTGGGAGCAGGATCTTTTCAGAAATGTTCTTTTTTAGTTCTGTTCGTTTAAATTAAGATTTATCACTGTAATATTGAGGTCATTCTGCCATGGGATTTGTTCCATTCAATTAGATAGTGCCAGTCATGTGATTGGATGATGCATAGGTGAAAGGATAAAATATTTCTCAAACTTAAACCAAAATGAAATTTTTTATAGCCATTGGTAAAACATTGTTGATGCTTAAGTACATCCATGAAGAGAGATATCTGTGTTGCCAAGTCATGGATGGATCAGCAAATTTCATTTGCTATCCAGCATAAGTTGCAGCAGGCCTACAACTAAGAAAGATGTTTTTGTTGCCAATTCAGTGGTCAGGTATCTAAAGCTGACAGGGTTTGGAAATTAACGATTTAAGAGAAATGACAAGAAAGCTCAAACTGAAGAGGCTGGCAGAATTGCTGAATCAACTGAAACATCGATGAGTGAATTTTTTTTTGTGTGTGTTTTGGGTGAGAAGGCATGTTTAATGGGGGAGGGGGGAGACCCTAGGGGTGAAAGTCTGATTTCATTTATTGCAAGTCTTGAGTAAATCTTTTCACACCAGAATAATAGATCTGTTGAACTAACTGAAGATTCTTTTACTGAAGAATTTTTTGCCTTAATGCAGAAATTATTGTTGACTGCCCTTGCGTACTTTTGTGCTCAATTAATTGCCCTCTTAAACTTGGGTGTTTGGTTACCAGGTATTCTCAACGGATAGAATTCATTAGCAGTGCTGGGATTAAGCTCTGGGACTCACGATGTGCTTAGCTTTATGTGCCACATTCCTCCGTGCAGGAAGAGTGCTCGTCATTAGGGTTGTACTTAAAAGGCATAACAGAAATGCAGCTTTCTACTAGATATTAAATCGACTCTGCTGCTGAAATTTGCAAGACTGTATTATGAATTATATCCTTTGTTGGAATTGTTTGAAAATTGTTAGAATTGACAAGGTTTGAAGTGACAGTGAGTCTTAGAGTTCAAAAGTGGCTGACTGGAATTGACAGGATAGCCTAAATAATATGTTGATTAAATAAGACATTTCTACTGAAATGGATAAGGTTAGTAGGTACCTTGATATTAGGACTTAAGACATATTTCTAATAGAAGACTCCAGAAAAAACTGTCATTTATAGCTTAGAACTGGTGTTGAACTTCAGACTGACCAGATGCTATCTTTTAAGAATTTGGGGATTATTTTTAAGTTATGTCTTCCTGGCCATTTATGCTTTGATTTAAGACCAGTTTTAACTCTTCAAAGGTAGAATTCCCCAGTTTATCTTTCCACTCTTCTTCCCCCTCCTTTCATTGAATAAAATATTTCACTCAATTTAACACCAACTGTTGAAGTTCTCATTAATTATTTTCCTGTTAAAATAAAATCTTAGCTCTAAATGGGATTTTTTTAATGTGTGGGAGGTTAGAGATAAGTATCCAAGCAGTTCAGGATTCTACCACTTCAGATAAATTCTGAGTCAGGAGTTTTTGAGTGTCCTTGTCAACATTTTCTAACATCATGATATTAATCTTTGTGAACCTGTGACATGACGGAAAAAAAAGTTATTACTATCAACTTCCGGCTTAACATGATCAAAGTATAATGTGCTCCTATGTATGTGTTCCTCGTATTTTTTATCACTGCGTAATTTTCACATTGTGACACATTTTCAGTACATTGAGTCTCAGTTGTGATTGCAAATTAAATGAAATAACAAAGAGGATTTCAAATACATTCAAACATGGAACTCAATTTTTAGTTCATTATCGTAAAAATAAAGTTTTTTCTTATTTTACTTTGCAG